TAAGTAGTTTTATTTTATTGTCGTGTTTCAGTTCGAACCTACATATTGCAACCTACATATTGCTACCTATATATCGCAACAGCATCTACGCTACACAATCTACCGCTACCTGATCTAAAGGCTAACCTATCAACTATCGCTACCATATCCATTAGATTGGCGTAGCAAATTGCTACCAAGAAACGTTTCGTGACTGTATCATTGTATTGAAATAAAGTTTTGTGTGTTAATTTATCAACGCCTGTTGAGTTTGAATAACGCTTGTACTGTTGCAACCCCTGTGGCTCCCTATTTGGCAACCAGGAGTTACAGAGACAACAATCAAGCTTTGCAAGAACATAAAAATGAAATAAAAACCTAAATAAACTGTTTGTAAATAAAAAGAGGGCTCCTTTCTGCACATGTGCAGATCGGACTGTACCGCATCTTTAATCACAGGCTACCAGCAGTTACATGCAAAAAGCATGTCAACTGACTTTTGTACAAGGCCGGGTATCATGCATGCCTGATGGCCTGTTTATAATATCTCTGAGACATCGATTGTTAAAGATGTGTACAGTCCGTATGTAAACAAAGGCTTTGTTTACATTTCGGTATCCAAAATATAGAATTTTATTCGACAACTATTTATATTTTCATGATTCTAGAGTATAATAAATTATAAAGACCCAACAATCAAGCTTTACAAGAACATAAAACGAAATAGAATCTAAATAAACTGTTTGTATAAAAGAGGGCTCCTCCTTTCTGCACATGTGCAGATCAGACCGTACAGCATCTTTAATTAACATAATATGAAATAATCCTACCGACCTATACTCATACATTCACCTGGCTGTGTCATGCAATATGTTTCCGGGTATGCTATTCTTGGGTTTCACTGGCTAGGCATTATGCAGTGGATCTGATGGGGGGTCAACCTCACATGTATCGATGCTTATGCTGTACTGGAGGAATAAATTATACGAAATTCCATGTATTGCCACCAAACCCAAGGCAGCTAATCGACTCACTCTGATAACTGTATTTTGTTCACCCCCCCTGTCACTTCTGTGACGTCATTTGAAACCCAAGAATATTCTTCGATAATGCTCACAATTTCTTTCTTATATAGTTTTGTAGTTCTGACTGAGTACAATCTCTGACTGAGTACAATGCATGGTGTCATCTGAAGCTGACATTAATTAAACAAAAATGTTAACAAATAGATTTTGTCTCCCCATCAGATTGTTCGGTTGATTTGCATGCAATAGGGGTGGCCTTGAAGGTGCCATGTAAATAATAATTAGGACAAAAACTGACTTAGTATTTCTACAGTGTGTCTCAAAAAAAAGTGAACCCTTTCAAATTCAAATTAGCTATATCGTAGTAACTTGCAATTGACAGCAGTCTAATTGCATTGAATTAATAGTTAGGTAAGAACACAAGGAATACTGTATTTCTTTTAAATTTTCTAATTTTTATTTCTTTGAGTTTTGTCCCATGAGTACAAGACCTTGTGTTCTTACCCAGTCATTAATTCAAAGCAATTAGAGCTGTCAAATTTGAAAGGATTCACTTTTTTTAGACACACTGTATATATGATATTATACAGTATTCAGTGGCTAGCTAGCCATGACAACTGGTCATGCTATCCTAATAAACCTGCATATATTGTAATAAACATACAAAAGCAAGAAATTATAAGCATTGAAGGTGTTCATATAAAACTGCCCAATGCCAAGAAAGTAGAAATAGAATATTTAGCTGACCTTTGACTTTGTGCAAGGTGTTTGATATTCAAATTGTACTTTTTCTACCTCATGAACATGTGTCTTAGGGGCTGTTTACTGTAAATATTGGAAGCCGGGTGATTTTAATGTATTGCAATAAGTCAACAGAATTCAAATGTTGTAGTTCAAGAAGATTATTATTGCTGCTTGAACAACCTTGCTGAATCGTGCACAGTAATTTATGTTAGAAGTAATACATCAAAATTATCCTGCCTGGCATCTCGTCCTGGCAAAGCAGGATCATGTATAGCCTCCTCCGCAGGCAACTCTTTGGCAAGAATTGGCAAAAGTATTATTATGAATAAAAAATTGGCAAAAATTTGAATATTATAGGGTTACGCTCTGTGATCCCTAACAATCCCTAACTTTAAATTCGCTGTTATTCATAACATTTTTGCCATATAAACAGCCCCTTATTCAGCAAATTCTGCATGCTGCCTTTGATCCCTTGAGGGTGAGGCAGCACTTTCCTTGCGATAGTAACTTCTAGTTTTAATATAAAGCTTCGTAGGTTGTAACCCTGGTTGTAACCAAATATTTGCGATTGTGAATCACAGCTTGCTAAAGTAGTGGGAAATTTTACACTGGCTTTCCCATGTGTATTGCACCGTAGGAAGCTGTTTCCTTAACAAATAGAGTGTCATTTTCATCGTTATATTTATTAATTTCATGTCAAATAAGATAAAGTGTAAATAAAATTGAATATGAAAACGTCTCTTTAATACCTTCGTAAATCCATATTCAAGTCTCGTCTTTTCCCCACATTTCTTGAGGTTTTAAAATTTGTTTGTCGTCTTTGATGGGCGAGAATAACACGTACGACTTGCATATCTTTGTCCAAATGGTCAAAGGTAGAAAATTTATATGGAAAAAAAATATTAAAAACCGATTCAAAACAACAAGAACTATATTGCTTATATTCGATATTCGAAGTGACTATATGACCGGCAGCCGGTCACGGTTTATCAAATACTAAATGGCCGGCAGTCTAGTGACTATTGTTAAAGTTGAATTTTTATAAGATAAACCTATCCCCAACCCCAAACCCTTTTCTAACCCTAACCCCTAACCCCTAACATTTTGAGTGTTAGAAAAGTCGGAAAAAAAAGTTTTAAAAATTTTAAGAAAAAACAATGCTATTAAAGTCAGAACAAAACGCATCCCGACCCCGACTGCGTTTAACTTTCCGCACGCAGCGCCCTTGCCGTATGTGCTAACGGCAAGCTCGGTAAAAGCTAACGCAAATTAACAAAGGTTTTTATAGTCAACTATAGTCACTAGACTGCCGGCCATTTAGTATTTGATAAACCGTGACCGGCTGCCGGTCATATAGTCACTTTGGCTTATATTATCTGCAAAACTTTTTTGCAAAAACCAGGGGGGGGGGTGAAAACGACCGTTGGCTCAGAATTGAGCCTGGTCAGTGGTACCTACCATGAGAATTTCGGAAGTGTTGTCATGGACTATGGTCATGGAAATGGCGTCATTTTCACTCAAAATCCGCCATGTCACAGAATAGGAAGGTATACTGAGAAGCGTAACTCAAGCAAGCATTTGTCCGCGTTTTTACAAGCGATTCGTCATCAATCACGCCATCCTGGCTAGTACAACCGGCACTTTGTAGTTTGTGCCTACCAAAACCTGATAAAAACTTCCGGTTGTACTAGCCAGGATGACGTGGATTGGCGTGAGCGAGATAAAATTTTCGTGGACGTAAAACAATAAGGGAAACGACTAGAGTTACGCTTCTGCTATACCTTCTTATTCTGTGGCCATGTTTTTGGCGACACTTCGTTGACTGAACGAAGTATAGGAGCAGGTTCTCCAGTTATTATACAGCTCAGTGATGCCGAGCAGGTCCTCCAGTAATATAGTATAGCTCAGTGGTTGATGCCGAGCAGGTCCTCCAGTAATATAGTGTAGCTCAAGGGGCGTGCGAAGGTAAGAGCCTGGGTACGAGGTTGGCTCAGTGGTTGCCCCACTGAGCTCTACTATATATATCTGGAGACCGTGCTCCCATATCTCGTCAAACAAAAAAGTGTCCGCAAAAACATGGCGGATTTCGAGCTCCGCGTCCACTATTTTCGGGCGATTTACCACTGACCACATAATATTTTTGAAAGCCACCTGTTTTCGCACCCCCCTGGATGCAAAAAGTATACACTGTGTAATTATTAAACTATCAAGTTTCACAACTTTATATTTTGTCAACATGCCGCGTTAATATTGCTCGGTTTATGGTTGTCACAACTCCTTTGACAAAGACGGACTGTATTCACACTGGTAAGGAAATATTATTTTGTGCTTAGATATCATTCGAGAAGTTTTTTCTGCAAATGACAATGTAAAAGCAAACGGTAGTTATGTTTTGTTCACGTGCATGTGTCACCAGCTTTTCTCGACTGTGGCTTCTTTTCTGAGGTTTTTGCATGCAGTTTGTTTCATTCAAATATTATATTTCCATTGTTCCTTGTGATGTTCTCGTGTGCGTTTTTCCTACCTACTGTACAGTGTATTTTATAGGCCTGTTTGTATTTATGAAAGCATATTGTTATTGAATTTTTTCCCTTCACATATTTAAGCATTCCTGATGCAAAGAAGTATCCAGAGTTGTACAGCATATGGGTTGAGTATATGAATAAACATGCGACAGTGAAGTCTGTTCCTGCGGAAAGTAGTCGTTTGTGTTCAGATCACTTTAGACTGAGTGTCCGTAAATTTCGAGAATTGGGCGACAAATTGGAAAATTCGAAATTCCTTTTATTTTACCCATAGTATCCACTGAGTGAGCTATTTTGAAAAATATAGTTCAAAAGTCGCAGCTCCTCTTATTTTTCGTGAAATTACCTAAACATGATTTTGGGACTTTTAAGTCAATTTTCATCAGTCAAAATACAGGATTTTAAAGCGTTCGTGACGACTACCCTTCAAACATATTACGACCATTTTTTAGTATAATCTAAGACCATCTCTATATTTTGTCTTAGCAGCAAAATCTTTTTTTATTCCAAAATCTTTCTTGACATTTAAAGCTAGCTAATATTTGGTGTTTACGGTTCACAACAGAAAGGCAAATTTTTGTCAATTTCAATGTGTTCAAATGGACCGTGGTGCATGACAAATTGCAACGAAAATAAGACTAACTTGCAAAGTAGCCATCTGTTTATAACATATTAAAAAATCTCTGGCGGCAAACAAAACCCGCACCAGTGAGAAGTCAAAATGTTGATGCTATTTTTAGATTTTGCCTGACAACACGTTTGTACATTACAACGGTAATTACAGTGACAGTTTTGTCGCATTTCATTAGGGGCGGACCATTAGAAATCCCGGGAGGGGGGGGTGTATAACATTTTTGCGGCACGAATTTTTTTTTCAGTCTCGTGTCTCTGCAGGAATTTTTTTTAATGCATTTAACCTCTGCACGAATTTTTTTTCAAGACTATTTGTACTTCGCTGTTTGCTTGCACGAATTTTTTTTCTCTGACGTAATGGCTGCACGAATTTTTTTTCCAGGCATTTTCCTTTGCACGAATTTTTTTTTTGGAATTTTCACCCCCCCTCCCGGGATTTCTAATGGTCCGCCCCTTAACAAAAGAACGCGGAATAACGAAAACAACGCTATTAATTTTTAAGACAAACTTTAAAGAGTACACTAGAGATCTGAGTGATGAATGCGTTTTTTAAGTTCATGCAAGGGAGTATTTTATTTGAGATCAATCGATAATAGAGGCCAGCTAGTACAAACGCGTCACATTAAACCAGTCAATCTATAATTTTGTTAACGAAACTAAAATTGGCAATTCACAAAACCAATTTTAATTAGTAACCAGTTTTAATTTGTTTATTTACTATGCCAGGGGGATGAAGATGTCTTCAAAAAGGGGCATATTTTTTCGGGGCCCTGTTGGAGTTATCGCAATATTTTCGACGATCCCCCCCAAAGGATACTTCAAAATTCCAATGCCGCCCAGAAATCAGAACCCAAGGACCAAGGAGTTGAGGTATTTTTATGCTCAGCATTAAACTAGTTGACAAGGACACACTTTTCTTCCACAGTCAGAAGGGCAGATGAGAAATTTGTTTAGGTTAGTGACTTTATTGCAGGCGCCACGCCATGGTTAGTCAGAAACAGCGTTTTCAGAGTCTCATGTACACACCTTTTAGTAGGGTCATGATAAATTATCATGATGAGGCCCCGCCTCACCAAAACATTGAAATATTTATATCCCCCCTTCTGTATATACAGAGAACTTTTAGAGCCCCGCCCCTTAATGCCTGAAAATATTTTGGTGCCCCCTTAACATCTTCATACCTCCTCGGTATGAGTGTTCCCTAAACAATAAAACTCTTTTACATTTAAACTTTACTAATGCGACGCTATTTTGCTTTAAGACATCGTGCGTTAAAACTATATCATTGTTTGGAGCGCTAACTTGATTCGTCAAGTTTTTGGCAAATATAACTAAATTTGTGACTTACTGGTTAAGGGTATAGTCTATAGAAATGTACAGTACAGTTTTCGTTCATCTGTAGCAGTCAGCCAGTGTTACAGGAGCATCCGGAAACAGCACTTTCTAGGAGCTTGATGTAAGGTAACTTTGTGTTCTTCTTCTTGCCAGACATTTCTGGAACATCGAGGTTAAGTTCTTCGCATAGGCGTTGAAGCATATCCACTTTCAATTTTTTCAGAGTACTACTTTTCACCATATCACATACATTATATTGATCAAAAACGATAGGGTGTTGTAGTTGCAACGATGACAAAACTTTGTTTCTCATTTTATGAAAATTATCCTCTTCTACAGCAGCCGCAGCATCTGCTTCCGTTATAGTGATCTTTTGCTGTCGGACCTTTGCAGCCATGCGAGAAAAGAATGAGGAAACTTGTTCAACAGAAAGAAACTCCGTGACACCGAATAGCCGGTGACCATCCTCCCCGCGCGCATGCCTCATTTCTTTCGATACAACGTCCGCTTTCATTTTCCGTCCTGTCTCTTGGCCGATGTTGAACTTAGAGGTTAGGTAGCTTTTTTGCTTTTCGTTGAAACGATAACTTTTTGTCGATTCTTTAAGTGCCCACCCTTCCTGGGCAACAGGATAGGAATCGGCAACGACAGTGCTGCAAGAAGTGCTTATCGATGGAATCGCGAAAACATCTTCCTTTAAAAGGGATGCATATTTTTCTTTTGCAACATCCAACATGGTCTGCTTTTCAAGAATGCTGGTGCAGGATTCCAAAGAAAGATGTTTTTCTAGTGCAGAAGACCTCTGGAAAACACGAGTGCATCCTTCTTGAGGACAAGAGTAAATTGGTGATTCACTATCTTCTGCCTTCTCTTCTTGTACGGCCTTTTCGAATTCAGTAGTCACAGGTTGCTGGTTTCGCTTTGTGTTTTCGGCTGTTGATTTAACGAGTTTAAAATTTCCAGATGAAAACCCGACAGTGATCCAATTAAAGGTTATATCTACAACAATAAGATAGAATATAATTACTCTACGAACAGATCAGTGATGTGTTCTGACTTTGGTGCCCTAAAAATGAACGGTGGCTGCATAATACAATTTTCTCCTTCTATGAAAGGCACTCACTTTATACGGCAATTTGTCGTACGACTGATGCGAAATTAAAGATAATTGTAGTGGCTTTAATAGATTTTTGTCGGATGATACCTTTACATTTGCCCAAACTAACTTTTTCGCCCATACTTTTTAGTGTCCACCATGCATGTCTATTGCCACACCCATTACCCCAGGGAATGTGTTAGAAAATCATACACGGTTACCTTGGATCTTCGATAAACTTATTCTTTTTCCTTTTCCAACATCATAAGCTCGCCATGTAACAATATTTCTTCCTTTGAACTCAATGTTGTTCAGTTTACTTATTCCAGGGATTTTATCTAGCTGAGCGACGAAAGAATCATCGATGCACGGTACTACAGCCACTCTTACTCCCTCGACACCACCATGTGATAACAGGGCATTTTTCATTTCTCCAGCATTTGTAACGTCGTTACCCTCGTTTACAAACAATCTGATATGGCACTTGCAAGTGGCGGCAAGACGGTCAGCTGACCCTTTCCCCCCTTGGGGATAGCTGAAATCAATCCTTGAAATCTTTATTCCTGTTGTCTTGGCGATGTGATGGCATGCAAGAATTGTGCTGGCTGAGTGATAACATCCGGCATTGTCTTGGCGGAAAAATGCTCTCTTCAATTTCGGATTCTCGGTTTCCAAGGTATTTAGGACATGCTGCATGATTAACACAATGGCAGCACTGTCCTGGCTACAAGATTCAATGATATGAATGAAGCCTTGAGACTCTAATTGGCCAACGACAGAGATATGCCAGGAGATTCCCTTTTTCCCAAACCAATCTGACTGTGATTCGCGGTATTGATGGGGAAGGAACTTCATTGCCCAGTCATTCACTATGTACACTGTCTTCTCGTCTTTTAGGAGATTAATCACGTCTAGTCTGGCTTGGTCTTGTCGAACACTCCGAAGTTGATGGCCTTTCCACAAGTTAATGGCTCTCACTGCAGATGTGAATAGATACAGGGTTTCGTCTCTTTCTTCCTCCGAGGAAAAAGTGCACTCGTCGATTGCTTGTTCTATGTTCTTTAGCGTTAAGTCAAGACTTTCACACGAGGCGATGTCTTTAACGGAACTGGAAAGCACCTTCCATACTGAAGTCGATGAAGATTAGCCATAGTAAAACGGTAATGTGTGAGACCAGGAATATATTCTGAAATGACATTAAAATTAGCCACATCGGACATGGTAGATAAGACTTGGCGCCGAGTATCCCAGCTATCTGCGGTTTTATACGCTTCGGCTAAGGCTTCTAAATAAGCTTTTTCTGCTGGCTGATGGCTTAATCCAAATGCTTTGTTCATTCTTCCGGAAGTTTGAAGCCCTTTCCAAAGATGTGGGGCATTAGTGGATGAAATATCATTTAACACTGACGAGACAATTTCACATGTTTTTTGGATGTATCGTTCTTGTGTGCGCTCTGATATCTGGTTCCAATCTGACATTGGTCTTTTCAAAGGATGAATATTACAGGCTTCCAAATATTCGTTTAGCTTTTTTCTTCTAGCAACCAATGAAGAAGAAACATCGGTGACGTCACAAGATGATGATGATGTAGTACTTGCAGTGTCTGGAGAGAAGATGCTCCACCTGGTCTCGTTAAGTACAAGTTTATCCATTTCTTCAACAAGTTCATCTGACGTACTAGTATTACTGTCTTCCTAATAAAGAATAGAAGCTGTTAAAATGTAGTGCATGGATCATGGCTCGTGATAAAGTTAAAATTGTTTCTTATTACCGGCTGTTCTGCGTTAATCTGCGGCAGAGATGTTGATAATTCTAAGCAGTTACTTGATTCGTCGTCAGTTGACACTAAATTACTAGTTCTCCATTCTGTTGCCAGATGAGCTAAATGTTCTTTACAGCTCCTGCATATCCCTAAAACAAGCAAAAAGTTAACGTATACATTATACTGTATATCCTGTAAAATAAAGGCATTGCTGCTAAAAGTTTAGTATAAGTAAATTCTTCATTCTACAAAAAACGTGGAAATTCAGTTAAAAACAAAACCTGCACTACTTGTGCATGCATAGTAAAATATCCTCATACTTCTCTCACGTTTCCTGCCGACCTTATACGCAGGAAATAGATGTATTGAATAAATTAACCTCGTACCTGTTCCCACAGGAATAAGTATCTTGGTCTTGTTAAAAATAAAAGATGATAATAAAGTTGTCAGTCCACATTGAGCTTTGACGGATAAAGATTTATGTGCTGCAAGGTCATTTCGAATTGAGCATCTGGTCTTGTTGCACCTCCAGCGAATGCCATACAAATCTCGATGTAAAGGACACCTGTCATCTTCATGTATGACTCGTCGATTTCAAAAATTCCTAAAGAATACCGATACGTTTTAGTTACAATCTTTAAAATTTGCAAACAGTAAGTTAACAAAGTCAAAGAATGAAAAATAAACATTAAATTCGGTGAAGTTACCTGCACGAGCAAGAAGTAACATTGATTCACTTCCAGACAGGCCACAATCGTTACTAATTTTATATTGTGAGCAATGGTTTAAAATGTCCTTATTACAATCCTTGATTGTTACGCATTCTACAATAGAAGGATTGTACGAATTAGGTCCACACTGACCGCCAACTAGTGTTGCATAGTAACACGATGCCATCCTACAGTTTCCTTCTTGTTTGCATGTTATATATTACTGAATATTTCTTTAAGTCCAAAAGTATGTCATAATGTAATTGTTTACAAAGTTAAAGATTAAAATGTCTGGTATGCTATAATCGTTCGTTCACTCAGATTGCCGAAAGCAACTTCTAAATTTTAAAATTTTAAGTTTTCCCCTTTTTCTGCTCTTGTTAATTTCGTTTGCATCAACAAAGTTATTCTGGGCCGGGTTGATTATTGTGCACGATATTTAACTGGCACATCCGTTTATATTTTTTATATATTTGTATACCTTGCACGCATATAGGGACAATTAATGTCTCGTTTGTGCTTATATTTCGCTTGATTTCTAGTTTTACTGTCATTTATACAAGTCTTTGCTTGTCGTTTGTGATTAATTGTTTTTATTAAAGTATTTAATATATGAATTGTTATTTATTGTATAGAATATACGCTCAAGGAATTTACTAAATAATAACAGTGTTATATAGTGACGCATTTGTGTCATAATTGATTGATCTTTGATAAAACACCTCTTTAATTTGATTTAAAAACATTTTCATCACTTAAAACAATAATGTACTATTTTTAACTTTCTCCAACAGTAATATTGTTGTTTTATTCCTTACTCTGCGCTGCATCTTTGAAATGCGACAAAACTGTCACATTGTCACTGCATGTAATTACCGGTGTAATGTACAATTATGATGCACCGACATCTAAAAATAGCATCAACATTTTGACTTCTCACTGGTGCGGGTTTTGCTTGCCGCCAGAGATTTTTTAATATGTTATAAACAGATGGCTACTTTGCAAGTTAGTCTTATTTTCATTGCAATTTGTCATGTACCACGGTTCATTTGGGCACATTGAAATTGACAAAAATGGCCTTTCTGTTGTGAGCCGTAAACACCATATATTTGCTACTTTTAAATGTCAAGAAAGACTTCGTAATCAAAAAAGATTTTGCTAGTAAAACAAAATATAGAGATGTACTTCGATTATATTAAAAAACCGGCCGTAATACATTTAAAAGGTAGCCGTCACGAATGCTTCAAAATCTTGTATTTTGACCGATTAAAATTGACTTAAAAGCCCCAAAATCATGTTTAGTAATTTCTCGAAAAATAAGAGGAGCTGCGACTTTTGAACTATATTTTTTAAAATAGCTCACCCAGTGGATACTATAGGTAAAATAAATGGAATTTCGAATTTTCCAATTTGTCGTCCGATTCTCGAGATTTACGGACACTCGCTCTTTAGTGCTGATATGTATGAGATAAAGGGGAAAAGCCAGAAATTAGTATTGAGACCGGATGCTAATACCAACAATAGTTACACAAAGGTTTGCTCAGGTCATTGGTGCGATTTAAAGTGTTAAAGTGTTATATGTAACAGTGTGCATGAGTTACATTCTTTGCTAAGGGACAAGTCATTATTAATGCCGGGTAGGGGGCTGGACGAAATTTGTATGAATAGCAAAAATTTTTCATGACCCCTTATTTTTCTAACAAACTATTTTATCCCGCCCCCCCCCTCCACCCCAATTCTGAATTCAATTACTCTAAGTCAGTTTCGTAACCATTTTTCCTGCCCTCATACTCAGTTTACTTGCAGATGTAAAGAATATTGTAAATATTGAAAATAAAGAATATTGAAAATGATAGCCAAGTACTAGATAATTCAGACTTTATACCTGAAAAGTTGTTGGTCCTCAAACAAAAAAAAAACACAAATCAGACCTACTTTTACTAATTGAAAAAAATACATTTGTGTCTGGTGGAAGCATTACTGTATATTGAAGAGATGGCAGAAGCGACTGTCAACAACATGCAGAAACAGAACATGCAAAAGAGGTCCACTGTGTTAAAAGCAGGACAACAACTGTCAACTGAATCTTGCATTTGCAAATGCAGTGCATGACCCTTTAGACAAATTCTTTGGTGATGATGAGGATGACAATTTCCATATACAGTGCCTAGAACACAACTTTTAGGAGGTTCAATATATTGGGCATTACTGTTCAATGTATGTATACTGTATATATCCATCACTCTTTTGATATTGCATGTTACAAACTATAGATTTTATTTCCCCCCCCCCTTTATGTTCAAAATATTTTCTGCCCCCCCCCCTTCACTGGTCAAAAATTTTTTGTGGCCCCTCTATATTAAAATGTATTGTACATTTACTAGGAATGGTATGCTGGATGTGTTTTAAGAGAGAGCATACAAAAATTGTGTGCCCAAATAGAGCAAAAACCCACTCAGACAGTTGTTCAAGAACAACATAATTGGCACAATTGCCATGATATTAAATTCACTAAGTAACTTTATATACATATAATGTGTGAATGTTGTGTGAGTGTTGTGTGTTAATTTTAATTTATTTATTAGGCCATTAATAAATATTCTTGATTTGAAAAATATTTTAGGGGGGGGGGGGATGTCCCTGACTGCTGGTGCCACCACTGGAAATATCAGCTAATTATAGCCAGCATAGCTTCAATAAAATATATTGAAGTAAATATGACATCAAATACTCTTTTATTAAAAGCGATAGCTATGTGCGTGTTTCACTTGTATAATTTGGGACAACCCGAGAATACCCTTATGGAATTAACAAAATAAAACATGGGTATGAGACCAAGAATACTTATTGATGGCCTGTAATAGTAATATAATAATATTGTATATATTTTTAAATTAAACTTTTTAAATGTTGAATAAATCTAATTTGTAATGAAAATTAATAATGCACATAAGAATATGTTTAATAAAATAATATATAATTATTGTTTGGTGTGCTAGATCCTTAATTAACTAATCTTTTGCCTGGTCAAACAATATGATTCTATTGCCATGAATTGCCATCGAATATAACAATGATTCCAGTGACAAACGTAGAGCCATATACATTTGGGTATTTATTAGTGCAGATTTACTTTCCCCATAATGTGCACAGCGTACATTGTGAGTAGACATGATCAACAATGTGCAGTTTCCATAATCTGAAAAATACAAACAGCAGTAAATATTTAGATGATACATGCATAAACCGACATAAGTTTTGTTTCAACAAAGCATGGCTGTGTTCACAAATTTATACATTAAAATTATATGTATAGTAGAAATGCAAAAGGAACAACATACTTTTTATACAATTTGAAAGAGAATTATGCACATATCAACGGCCTGCCCGGGGGGTACACCCTGGGACAACTGGGGGGAAACGAGGGGGAATTTGGTATTTTATCTGTGTGTTCTGCCTGTGAACCCCGGGGAGATTAGGGAGTGGTCATTATTTATGGGGAGGGGGGGTGTTGGGAAATGGGGAAAATAAGGATTGGAAACTTTTTTGACCCCCCTCCAGACTGAAGGCAAACTTTTTGTGTCTCCCCCCTCATAAAAGTAGAAACTTTTCTGACCCCCACCCCCCCAGGTGGATTGAAAAATTAACAGCAATGAAACAGGTGTGCATTGCATGTAAAGTTAGATATTAGGACAATCTGTTTAATATAGCTCATGATGTTTTACCCTGGTGAATATGATTCAACCATATGTGATTAAAAATATATATTATGTACTGTTACTACTTTGCAATGCAACATTTGTCCCACCATAACCCTAACCCATGACCCGTCTTCATACAGCAAAATGATTTGAACACAGCGTTTTTTTAAGAACTTGTCTGGGCACCAACCATGGTAGTGCCTCGCAATCATGGGAGTCGGGCACACTAAGTTTAACAAGCTTGCTACCCCCTGAGTGACCCAGTTGTGGTATTTACATAAACATACCATGCAAATACACTTAACTGATCAGATTCGGTCTATCAACACACAATGTAACGTTGTATATCCAAAAATCTGTTTCAGAAAATGCTTACATTTCAGTTCTAGGGGTGGAAAAATACAAAACATTTTCTGGGGGAGAATCCCTGGACTCCCCTACTAGTACATACAATACCACACCAACCTTTTTGTCACCAACAACCATCTGTCATCTCTCCGCACTCAATATAGTATGGTCCCTTCTTGTAGATGTCCACCCCAGAGCAGGGAAATTTTGAGTATCTAGATTGTTGGAAATAGCATTTTCAGAGTCTTCTTTTTTGCTATTTGTGATTATAGAAATCAGAACTCTAGACATGGTATTTAAGTTCAAAAACTTTTATGACCCCCCTCCCCTTTCTCTGTGTTAAAACTTTTTTGACCCCCCCCCTATTTATAAGGGTAAAACTTTGTCCTCCCCCCTCCCATAAATAATGACCACTCCCTTACAAACTTCGCAATAATAGGACGATGGGGGGAGGGGAAGTAGGGGACTTTGACGTGACAATTTGAATTTTATAAATGAAGTACATGATTGGTGTGAACTCAAAATCACAGGCTCACACAGAACAATATCGATCGGCAACTTATTATTTATGATATTTTGTAGTGGTCTTGCTAAAATTTGAATAAATAAATACGGAATACATGAGTGCCATTGAGATACCCCAGTTTGTATAATAATTTTTAATTGTTTGTATGCTATTTATATTATGAACTACTTTATTGTAAGCCCAGGGGGAGGGCAGTTTGACTTACACATTTCCCGGGGGAGGGAGGGGGAATTAATGCATTAGAATCATGTTTTTGCAAAGTCCCAGGGGTGTACCTCCAGGGCCAGGCCATTGATATGTGCATTATATACAAGTAGTAATCGAGTTGAAATATTATACAATAGTAATAAATTATAGTATATTTCAATAAATGAATGTATGGTACAGTACAAGTGTTTCATTAAAATTTTGAAAAATGCCTCACCTGTAGTGCTTTTCAGCGTTTGTTGTTTATTTATTAACATATGGAAACAGAATCACCATAGTCCTCGAAATTTCAAAAGTTTGTTTCCCATCATGACAATTATTTCAATTTCTCGTTAATTTAGCAATTTATTACTCATTTTCTACGGCTCCACACAAAATACTGTAGGTCTGCACCTACCGATACTG